ATCTATTCTACATTTTGAAATCCCAGTTTGTCCCTTCCCACCCCCGCCCCCTTGGCAACCACAAGTTTGTATTCTATGTCTATGAGTCTGTTTCTGTTTTGTATTTATGTTCTTTTTTTTCTTTTTTTAGATTCCACATATGAGCGATCTCATATGATATTCTTCTTTCTCTTTCTGGCTTACTTCACTTAGAATGACATTCTCCAGGAACATCCATGTTGCTGCAAATGGCGTTATGTTGTTGGTTTTTATGGCTGAATAGTATTCCATTGTATAAATACACCACATCTTCTTTATCCAGTCATCTGTCGATGGACATTTAGGCTGTTTCCATGTCTTGGCTATTGTAAATAGTGCTGCTATGAACACTGGGGTGCAGGTGTCTTTTTGAAGTAGGGTTCCTTCTGGATAGATGCCCAGGAGCAGGATTACTGGGTCATATGATAAGTCTATTCCTAGTATTTTGAGGAACCTCCGTACTGTTTTACACAGTGGTTGCACCAACCTGCATTCCCACCAGCAGTGTAGGAGGGTTCCCTTTTCTCCACAGCCTCTCCAGCATTTGTCGTTTGTGGACAGTCATTCTGACTGCTGTGAGGTGATTCCTCATTGTAGTTTTGATTTGCATTTCTCTGATAATTAGTGATATTGAACATTTTTTCACGTGCCTATTGATCATTTGTTTTGCTTCCTTGGAGAATTGCTTGTTTAGGTCTTCTGTCCATTTTTGGATTGGGTTGTTTATTTTTTTCTTATTAAGTCATACGAGCTGCTTATATATTCCAGAGATCAAGCCTTTGTTGGTTTCATTTGCAAAAATTTTCTCCCATTCTGTAGGTTGTCGTTTTGTTTTATTTATGGTTTCCTTTGCTGTGCAGAAGCTTGTAAGTTTAATTAGGTCCCATTTGTTTATCCTTGCTTTTATTTCTATTGCTTGAGTAGACTGTTCTAGGAGAACATTTTTGAGATGTATGTCAGATAATGTTTTGCCTATATTTTCTTCTGGGAGTTTTACTATATCTTGTCTTATGTTTAAGTCTTTGATCCATTTTGAGTTTGTTTTTGTGTATGGTATAAGGGAGTGTTCTAGCTTCACTGATTTACATGCTGCTGTCCAGTTTTCCCAACACCATTTGCTGAAAAGACTGTCTTTATTCCACTGTATATTCTTGCCTCCTTTGTCGAAGATTAGTTGACCAAAAGTTTGTGGGTTCATTTCTGGGCTCTTTATTCTGTTCCATTGGTCCATATGTCTGTTTTTATACCAATACCATGCTGTTTTGATTACTGTAGCTCTATAGTATTGTCTGAAGTCTGGGAGTTATTACTCCAGCCTCTTTCTTTTTCTTCAGTAATGCTTTGGCAATTCTAGCTCTTTTGTGATTCCATATAAATTTTATTTGTTCTAGTTCTGTGAAATATGTCCTGGGTAATTTGATAGAGATTGCATTAAATCAGTAGATTGCCTTGGGCAGTATGACCATTTTAACAATATTCATTCTTCCAATCCAGGAGCATGGGATATCTTTCATTTTTTTTTAAGTCTTCTTTAATTTCCTTAATCTGTGTTTTATAGTTTTCCATGTATAAGTCTTTCACCTCCTTGGTTAGATTTACTCCTAGGTATTTTATTACTTTGGGTGCTATTTTAAAGGGGATTGTTTCTTTACTTTCTTTTTCTGTTGATTCATCGTTAGTGTAAAGAAATGCAACTGATTTTTGAACATTAGTCTTGTAACCCGCTACCTTGCTGAATTCTTCAATTATTTCTAGTAGTTTTTGTGTGGACCTTGTAGGGTTTTCTAAATATAGTATCAAGTCATCTGCATATAGTGACACTTTTACCTCTTCTTTTCCAATTTGGATCCCTTTTATTTCTCTCTTGCCTGTTTGCTGTGGCTAGGACTTCCAAGACTATGTTGAATAGGAGTGGTGATAGTGGGCAGCCTTGTCTTGTCCCAGATTTTAGTGGGAAGCTTTTGAGTTTTTCACCGTTGAGTACCATGCTGGCTGTAGGTTTGTCACATATAGCTTTTATTATGTTGAGATATGTTCCCTCTATACCCACTTTGGTGACAGTTTTTAATCATAAATGGGTGTTGAATTTCCTCAAATGCTTTGTCTGCATCTATTGAGATGATCATGTGGTTTTTGTCCTTTCTCTTGTCGATGTGATGTATTACACTGATTGATTTGTGCTTGTTGAGCCACCCTTGTGTCCCTGGGATGAACCCCACTTGATCATGATGTATAATCTTTTTATGTGCTGTTGGATTCTATTTGCTAATATATTGGTAAGGTTTTTTGCATCTATATTCATAAGTGATATTGGTCTGTAATTCTCTTTTTTGGTGGAGTCTTTGCCTGGTTTTGGTATCAGGGTGATGGTGGCTTCACAGAATGAGTTTGGGAGTATTCTCTCCTTTTCAATCTTCTGGAAGAGTTTGAGAAGGACTGGTATGAGTTCTTCTTTGTATATCTGGTAGAATTTCCCAGTGAAGCTATCCAGTCCTGGACTTTTACTTGTAGGGAAGCATAAATGTTTTTAAAGCTCATCCATTTTGTGGGTGTATTAGTACTTCATTTCTTTTTATTGTTGAATAATAGTCTATCATATGGATATACCGCATTTTACTCCTCTATTTGTCAACTAATAGACACTGGGTTGTTTCCATTTTTTGGCTATTTTGAATAATGCTGCTATAAACATTCATGTACAAGTTTTTGTCTGGATGTATGTTTTCATCATTTTTTTACATATACCTAGAAGTAGATTTGTTGAGTCATAAGGCAACTCCATGTTTAACCTTTTAAGGAACTGCCAAACTGCTTTCCAAAGCTGCAACATTTTACATTCCCACCAGCAATGTATAAAGGTTCCAGTTTCTCTACATTCTCACCAACACTTATTATTATTTTTGATTATAGCCATCCGAGTGGGTACGACATCTGATAAAATACCAAGGTAACTAGTTTTGTAACTTTAATCAACTCATTTAATCACTTTGAAATTCAGCTTTCTCATCTACAGAATGTAAATAAAATATTTCATAGAGTTCTCAAAGGTATTAATAAAAAATGTAGAAAAAATTTAGTACAGTATCCATCATAAAGTATTTGATAAAGAGTAATTATTATCAATAAGTTTTCTGTTCCTTAGGAATCCACCATCTAAATGAAAAAAAAAAAAACAAACTCTTGTAAAGTACTCCCTGACAGTTATTACTTAATTCAAGTGCAAAAACAAGTGGCAGAAAAAAAACAAAGATATAAGATTGCAAAAAGGAAGATCAGTAATGGGAGGAATGGATGGGAAAAGTCTTGTCAGACACTTCACTAAATCATGAAAAATAAGATCAGCATAGCTGGCAGGGGCAAGAAGAGATGGAAACCACACAAAGGAAGGAGCTCAGGTTAAAAAAAAAAGTTCTGTGCTTTCATAGCATAGTTAAGACCTGGTGACAGTAAGAAATATATCTGAATGGGTGGATGGGATAGGGCCAGATCACAGAACTGAGGCCTCTGACTTTCATTTTCCAAGTAATAGAAACAATCGAGGATTTGCAGGAAAAGGAAACTATGGAATCAGGCTTTAACAAAGATTAATCTGGCAGGAGAGGGAAAGACTTAAGGCCAAGAAACCTATTAGAAAGTTGTTTCAGATAAGACAAACAGGAAAAGTTGAGAGGAAGGGAACAGCTGTGAGAAGCACAAGGTAAGAAGAATCGAGCAAACTCCTTGACTGAATGGACTTACTTATATGAATATTCTGGGGTTTTTTTATTTTGCTTTTTGAGGGGAGGTGATTTGATTGATTGATTTATTGATTATTTTATTTAATAGAGGGACTGGTGATAGAACCCAGGTCCTTGTGCATGCTAAGCATGCAATCTACCAATGAACTATACCTTCCCTCCTTATATGAATATTCTGGAAATAACAGTATACTTGGAACACAATTTGAAAATGACAACACATATTGGTAATCATATCATTAGTCCAAACTTACCCTCCGCAATGTCTGAGCACGATGTGCCAATGGCTGTGTCCCCACTGTCAGCTACACTTGAACAGCGGCTGAAGCGGCTCCGAAAGGCCTCCGAGATAACCGGGGTCTGCCATTCAGTCCCCATGGAACTGCCCTTCTGAATCACACTGGAACCTGAAATGTGGAGTTTCCTACCTTTAGTGTGAACCAGCTCATGTAACTCGACAAGACTGTTCATAAAAATTCACTCAAACCTGTGAGAGAATAGTGGTACCCCACTCCTTTCTTTCTTTCTGTGCCTATTTCAGCTACTCTGAATTGGTTAATTTTTTTAAAAAATGTTACTTCATTATTTAAAAATTTAACAGAGGTTCTGGGGAGTGAACCCAGGACCTTGTGCATACAAGGCATGCGCTCTACCATTGAGCTATAGCCATTCTCCGAATTAGTTAATTTTAAATGGAAATAGCACAAGAGGTAAGAATATTCAAAGACAAAAATAAGACCTACCAAGAATCCAGGGGTACTAGGACAGTAATAGTTGATAGCAACTTCATTCTTTGAAATCTAGAAGCCACAGCACTTTACATGATCTCATTTACATACTTACTAAAAAGAATTATTACCCCTATTTTACAGAGAAAAGAGGTGAGATTTGAACCCAGGTTGTTCTGATTCCAATACCCATATTCTTTGCTCTTACAGGGTTTCTCAACAGGTGCTTGTGGCATTCTGGGCATGATGATTCTTCAGTGTATAGTCTATATGCTACTGGATGGCTTAGCATTCCTTATCCCCAACCACTAATGCCAATAAAACCCACTACATCACACCATCACTGTGAAAGCTGAAAATACCCCGTATGTTTCCAAATGCTCCACAGGGTAATAGGTATTCCAGTTCCCTCTTGAAAACCATTATCTGACTGAATCACGGTACTCTCATGGGCAGGGTGAATCCAGATCAAGGTGAGTCTTATAAGTCAATCTGAAGAATTTTAGGGGGCAATGCAAAGAAACTACTAAAATTTCTGAGCAGGTAAAATGAAACAAGACTGAGAAAAGATTTATTTGACTTTATTAGTTTGCTGTTTTAGGGCTAGTAGACAGGAAGTGTTCAATAAATACTTGATTTACTAACATACTAGCAAAGACTTAAATTCAAATTATTTTTTTAAAATCATTATAGTTTTTCTAAACTTTACCTGATGATCCATATAAACAAACAAACAGGTAATGGCAGTTACATATCCATTTAAAGTATCAGAGTTTGAGTTGAGATTAGGAACTATGGTTCTGTAGACTCCATGATCTAGTGGGAATCAAGTGATATTTGAACACTTCAACTTATTCCCTCCCTTCTTCCGAATTTAGTGCTTCTCCCATCTTTTGAACCTACTTTCTTCTATTTCTGCTCCTTTCTTTGGCTACCCTTTCTTCTTCTTCCTACTGAAGACAACCTCACTTTCCCTTAAAAGTCCTTTTATTCTTTGGGTGTCAGTGGACTGCCTTATTTCAAAGAATCTTTACACATGCAGTAATCTGTAACAATCTTTAAAAGGAAACTAGCCAAAAATGAGACCTTCTTATCAGCATAGGACTAGCCAGTATTGCTATACTAAATTAGTAGAATTCTATCCAGAAGCAAAGAAATTTGACCTCTTGGTGAGTCTATATGGCATTATCTCTTTAGTCAGTGTACAATCTGTCAGGTCTTTTGAAATAGTGAAAATCGATTGAGGGCCTCTACTACCATGTTCCTGGCCTCCACTGGAAACCACTCCCTGTTTCTACTACTAATCTTCCATTCTTCACCACTACCACTTCTCTATCTACCCACTCCAAACATCAATTCTAAAAGAGATACATAGTAAAATAAAAATATGTTTTGGTATAGTTATAGAGACTTGTGATAATTTCAAAATTCAAGTTTGAAAGCTGAAATTTTTTTGTGTTATGTCACATGTCCTATTAGCAGCATCCTCATCATATATTAAGACCATTATTAATCTAATGAGAGACTATTGAAAACAAAGCCATCAGAAAAGCAGTGAGTTTGTTAGGAACTGCTACATTCCAAAAACTTGCATTACACACATAATTATCATAAGAAATTGGACAATTCAGCCCTAGACAGTGCGTGGCACATAGCAGATGTTCAATAAATATTTGCTGAACGAATCTTGAATTTATTCAACAAACGCTTGTCAAAGTGCTTACTATATGCAAGGTAATGTGCCAAGGAGAACATAACAAATATCTACTAAATGTCTACTATGAGGCACGGTGGGATTTTGAAGTTAAATAAAACAGACCTTCAGTTCAATAAAATGTACCCTTTCTTCATAAATACCCCAGAATTCAAGTTATTTTTCTAAAATGCTACTTCCTATCTGAATATACCATATGTACTTATATTGTCTATTGAGTGTATGTATGCATGTATATGTTTTTCTCTCTATATATAATATATACACACACTTTTAATATATCAACTTAGGATATCTACTGAGCTTTCAAAATCCTGTAAATCCATTCTAGAAATAAATTACTGAGTCTCTAGTGACAATACAAGTCAGACTGCTGGCATCCAAGAAGAATTCCAATCTTTGTGGGCTAGCAGATGACTGACCCACCCACAGGACTTACAAAGACAACACAGAACACAGTAATTTATGCTGTGTTTTTCTGATTTCAAATAGAACTATGTCCCAAAGTCATTTTGTTCCAATCCTTTATGTGTCCTCCCCTCCCAAGCAATCACGTGGTCTTTGTTGGAAGCCATGTAAGACCAGAGATAAATAGTTGTTTTCTTGGAAAGAACTATTTTTCCATTCAATGTAGTCCCATGTCATTTTTGTTCTTTTAGTATCAGCATTTCAGTGAATGCCTGTTTGCTCAGTATTTCTCTTACATGACATTTCTGTTATAAAATAAATGAGCAAAGGTCAGAATTTAACCTGGAAAACTTTGACTACTCACCTGGTGAGGTGGCATGAGAGATCCTTTCACTTGGGTATTTCTCCTGCATGGCCATTAACAGTTATTTGAGCCAGCTGTAGAATGAAGGAACCAGTTAGATCTTTCCACTATTTTTTAATTCCCTGTAACTTGTTCCCATTCAACTGAAACTGTCAAAAACACAGAGTATTCAAGTGTTATTCCACATGTTTTACTCCTAAGAATTTTTAAGGCAAAGCAACTCAATAATCCATCCCACTTCTCTTCCTAAAGCAAGAAGAGAAAACCTAGAACCAAAGAGATTCCCAATACTGATCCCATAGGGTCCTAGAATCCCTCCAACTGTTGCAAAAATTAAAAATAGTGTTACTTTTAATTAATAAATAATGCCATGGATCTTCTTACCCAGGGAAACAGGATGAAAGGGTGGGATGGAAATAGAACTAAATAACCAAACCAAGAGTGAAATATTACAGCTTCAACTACAAATAACATAAAATGAATTCCCCAATTCCTCCAGTGATGAAAGCTAGCCATATGATGCACAAAGATGAACAGAATTCTTGGTCATAAGCAGAATCCCAATCCTCAGATAGGAACATGAGGTTTTCTTCTCATTTCCCCATTCCTTAAAACATTTATATTTACTCTAATGGTAGATTCTGAGAATTCAGAAGTCTGATTACTATCTGTGTAAACAAAACCTTTAATTGTAATCAATAATAGCAAATAATAATAATATCTTATATATGCACAGCACTTTGAAAGGAAGTACATAGAAGTGGTTCAGAGTATTGACTCTTGATCAGACAGTTTGGGTTTGAAGACTTAATTTATTAGCTGTGTAACCTTGGGCAAATTAAATTTCTTAATATCTCTGTGCCTCAGTTCCTTCATATAAAAACAAGGATAAAGATAGGACCTAATTCATTCTAATTCATTTAGAATTAACTTACAACAGTGTCTGACACATATTAAGTGCTTAATTAATAGTTTTATTATACTTGGCAGTTTATATGAATTAAAAAGCGACAAAGTATGGTCCCTGGAAGATAAAGTATGAATTTAGCAACTTTGTATTTTTATTTTTAATTTGTTTTGGGGGGAGGTAATTAGGTTTTTATTTATTTATTTATGTGGAGGTACTGAGGATTGAACCCAGGACCATGTGCATGCTAGGCACACACTCTACCCCTGAGCTATACCCTCTCCTAGAAACTTTGAATTGATAAGAGCCCCAGAAGTTTGGAACAAACCCTATCCACAGAATACAACTCTTCGAGGTGAAATTTAACTCTGGAAAAGAAAAAAAAAGCTATATAGCACTATTTCTCTAATGTGCTTTACTGACCTCTACGGTTTTCTCTTAGTAACAACAACCCAAACCCTCATTGCATCTACAACAGAAATTGTATCATCCCCTAAAATCCCAGATCTCCACATACTGGGTAAGAGAAGCTTTGTTCAGTTAAAACAACAACAACAACAACAACAACAACAACAACAACAACAACAACAACAAAAAACGCTTCTATTTATGGCTAGTATCAGTTGATGTTGTAATGGTAACACAGGATTACCTACCTACTAGTGATATCAAATAGTCAATATCAAAACACTTTTTTTCACCCCTTTCTTTAAAAAAAAAAACAAAATGGAAGGTCTACTGATTCTGAGACCTTACCAAATTCAGAGAAGCTGAAAATAGAATGACAAAAGAACTCTCAGTTAAACATGGAGTTACCCTATGACTCAGGAATTCCACTCCTAGGTATATATTCAAGAGAAATAAAAACATATGTCAACACAAAATCTTGTACATGAATGTATATAGCAGTATTATTTATAGTAACCAAAAAGTAGAAAGAACTTAAATGTCCATTAGCTGATGGATAAATAAAATGTGGTATAAATGCACAACGGAGTATTATTAGGCAACAAAAAGGAATGAAATACTGATACATGCTACAACATGGAAGAACAATGAAAATATTAGGCCAAGTGAAAGAAGCCAAACACAAAAGGCTATATGTTGTATGATTCCATTTATATGAAATGTCCAGAATTGGCAAATCCATACAGACAGTAGATTAGTGGTTGCTAGGGACTAAGAGGAGTGTGGGGAGGGGGGATATGGGGAGTGACTGCTAATGGTATGGGGTTTCTTGCCAGGGTAATCAAAATTTTCTGAGATTACATAGTGATGATGGTTGCCAAGCTTTTGAATATACTAAAACTTCTGAGTTGTATACATGTAAAATTGAATTTTACGGTAATGACTTATATCTCAATTAAAAAAAAAAACTCCCACAAGGAGAAAAACTACAGAATAAATAACTCTGAATTTCTTCCTACAATTTTCAGAAGTAGATGGGCTACTGGTGGAAATTTTTAGGACCATTTGAAGGAGACAGACTTTGTGAGATAAAAGTGAGAGAAATGAATGTATAAGAGGAAACACAAATAGCCAGTTATACAGCCAAAAAGGTAAGAACGAACGGAGGCAGAAAGAAAAAAAAAAGCACCCAACATTGATAGTTTCTATTTTCAAAGCCCTTTAAATTACAGAACTATTCATTCATTCAACAAATTTAACATGTATTCAGCACAAGCATACATCTTTTTACTGCATTTTTTACAACTTGAAGATTTGTGGCAACCCTGCATCAAGCAAGTCTATGGGTGCCATTTTTTCCAACATCATTTGCTCACTTCATGTCTGTGTCACATTTTGGTAATTCTCAAAATATTACAAACTTTTTAAAAATCATTCTTAAATACGTTACGGTGATCTGTGATCAGTGATCTTTGATATTACCATTGTAACTATAGATGTGGTGGAAATAGCAACAGGACTAGAATTAGAAGCGGAGTCTGAAGATGTGACTGAATTGCTGCGAACTCATGATAAAGCTAACAGATGAGGAGTTGCTTCTTGTGGATAAACACAGAAAGTGGTTCCTAGTGAAGATGTTGTCAAGACTGCTGAAATGCCAACAAAGGACTTAGAATATTACATAAACTTAATTGGTAAAGCAGCAGCAGGGTTTGAGGATAGATTCCAATTTTGAAAGAAGTTTCACTGTGGGGAAAATACTATCAAACAGCACTTCATGTTACAGAAAAATCATTCATGAAAGGAAGAGGCAACTGATGCAGCAAACTTAACTGCTATCTTATTTTAAGAAATTGCCACAGCCACCCCAATCTTCAGTCATCAGCAGGATCCCCATTAGCAAAAAGATTGGAGGTGCAGATGATGGTTAGCATGTTTTAGCAATATTTTTTATTTAAGGCACATACATTTTAAAAAGACAGAATGCTATTGTATACTTAATAGATTACAGTATAGTGTAAACAAGACTTCAATAAGCATGGGGAAACCAAAAAATTGTGTGGCTCACTTTTTGCAATATTTAATTTATTGCGGTGGTCTGGAACCCTACCTGCAATATCTCCGAGGTATGCCTGTCCTTACGACCCATCAAGCACTGAGCTAAAGACTCTACAGTATCTTATGTCTACAGTCTTATGTCTAATGCTTACATCAAACCTATGAGATAGTTACTAGTATTACTCTCATTTTATGGATGACAAAATAAAGGATTAGAGGTGAAGGCTGTACAGTTAGGAAGAAGTTTCAAAGTCAGGACTGTGCTCTAATATTATAGTATAGTCAGTATTCTGTCTGTGTATGACAGAATAAATAAAGGAAGTTACTAAGGTGCCACAAGTTGTAGTTTCTGCCTCAGACATAGCCAGAGCTGCAAGCTCCAAAGCAGTTAGGAGCAGGGGCAGCTCATATAATTTCTTTACTTTGCCCTTGGTCACCACCCAGGCTCTATTTGCCAAGTTGCTACCCAAGAATTAAATTTTGACTGTTATATTTCTCCCCTTGAAGAATTATAATCTTAGTGTGGAACACACCTGGCAGTTGTAGAGAGAACCACATCAAGATAGGAGAGGATTTGAAGGGATACACAGACAGCTGACACAGACACATTAAGAATCTCACACTATCACATTATTTTCATCGCATTGATCATTTATTAAACCAGACCTAAAGAAAAAGAAGCCAAATCCTTGCCAAGATGTTGCCTTTACAAAGAACAAGCCTGAGACACACACCACCGCCAGATCACTATAAAACAGACAGGGCCCAAGGGCAAGTAATGAGGCATGGTTATCTTAATCGTCCTTGTAACACTCCTTCCTCCCTAGCACACAGTACTCAATTCCTTAAGTAAAATTTACTGAGTGCCTACTATCTGCCTGGCTCTGCGCCACGTGGTGGAAACAGACTGGTGTAAAAGACAAACAGGGTTCTCATCCTCCCGGTTTACTGTGCTGTTAAGTTTAGTGCTGTAATACCCTCTATTACATAAATAAGCTTTAACACACTAAACTTTCCGTTCATCCAAAGAACCAGCTCCTCTTTGTCTATAGCAGGGTACCCTAATCTCAGTACTCCTGACACTGGAGGTCGGATAAGTCTTTGATGCGGGACTGTCCTGTACACTGTGGGCTGTTTAGGAGCACCCCTAACTTCTGCCCACCTGATGCCAGGAACAATCTCTGAGTTGTGAGAATCAAAAATGTCTCCAGACCCTGTCAAATATCCCGTGGAAAGCAAAAGCGCGCCGGCCCAGAAACTCCAGCCTAGAGCCTTCACGAGTGTTCTCTGTCCCCCAACCTTGGTTCTCTATTCATTCTCCAAATTTCGGCTCAAACTTCACTTCCACGGGGAGGGCTCCCCGCCCCCTCAGACTCCGTCGTTCTGTTCTGCGCTCCCTGTACTCGTCCACCCGGCGCTACTGAGTGCTGGCCGAGCAATCACCCGCCGGACATCTACTCCTCTCCCGGGACTGTGCGCTCCCGGAGGGTGAGGAACTCGCCTCCTGCCGCGCCCCCGGGGACCGGCACATGGCCCGTCTTTTAGCGGTCCTGCAACTGCGGTGGAGCGACGGCGAGAGAGCAAGCCGAAGAGGGCAGGGAGGCGACCGAGCCCTGGAGGGTGTGTGGGGTGTGGAGGGCATTATTCTAGAAAGCCGGGGCAGTCAGAGACCCAAGGGGAACCGCTCAGTCGCTCTGCGCATGCGCTTCTCTCTCCCGCGGCTCCCCCACCCTCCCCACGGAGGTAGGTCTAGCGCGCCTCAGGCTCCGCTGGAGGAGACAGGGTCTGTCAGTCCGACGGGGGCCCCCGAAGGGAGGAGGACTTACGTGAGCCTGAAAGCGAGAGGCGAAATCCCTCACTCAGGGACACCAACTACGGCCAGGTACGTCAGCCGCGGGCGGCGGTTCGCTCCCTTGGCTCGCCTAACGGCCGTTACACACCCGCCAGGCCGCGCGCCTCAGAGCGCGCACCGCCGCGGCCCCGCCCCTTTCAGCCCGCTTTCGACCAATCAGGAGTCGGGCCGCGCCGGTGTCCCGCCCCTGCACGCTGCCCTGGGCGCGGAGACAGGACGGATCTCTCTGCGCATGACGCCGTCGCCTCTCTCGGCGGTCTTCTCTGCCCTTTGGCGGGTCTCGTCTCTGGGCGGAGCCCTGCTCCCCAGGGCCTGGAGTGGCTTGCTTGGGCCTTTGGAGATGGAGAAGCTAGTAGCCAGAGCAAATGATTCGGGGATCCCACTCAACCTGCCCATTCTCTCATTTCCCACCACTTATCAGTACTCCCACCTGAAGCAGCGGGTCATGTTGTGACCAGGAGTTAGGCTGTGGCCAGGTTCACTGCCTTGTCAGGGTCAGGACTTTGTCTGGGTTAGACTCAGTGGTCAGTCTGACCAGGACTCAGGTAGAAGAGGAAGGAATCAGGCTTACCTCCCTACTCAAGCTCGGTCCCTAGAAAAAGGAACTAAGTTCATTTGCATTAATATATACTTGAAGAATCAGACTGAAAATTCTTTAAAAGGAGGAACAACCCTATCGAATAGTAAAATTGTAGGTACTGGAAACCTGTCTTGGGAGGGAGAGGCATTAAAAAATTGTATGAAACATTGTGGTAAATATAATTAACACTGCTGTATTTTATATATGAAAGTTAAGAGTAAATCCTGAGTTCTCATCACAAGGAAAAAATTTTTTCTATTTAATTTTGCATCTATATGAGATGATGGATGTTCACTAAACTCATTATGATAATCATTTCAGGAGGGATGTAAGTCAGAGCGTTATACTGTATACCTTAAACTTATACAGTGCTGTATGTGAGTTATAACCAATAAAACTAGAAGGAAAAAGAAGTGTGATCGAAGAACCAGACTTAAAGAGTTAATTACAGGATCAAATTCACTCTAGAGGAAGGGCTCTGGGTATGTGCTCCAAAGCTTTATCACTCGCCCTCTCTTATAACCTTTTAAGGTAAGAATACAGAAGGCAGAAAATAGCAGATTTAATAGATAATGAACCTGGGTAGGATATGGCAGATAAATATAGGGAGTATTCTCTGAAATTAAGACCAGAAGCTTTTATTAAAATATAAATGGTAAGGATAGGTGTCTAAGTGAATAAATTTGTGGACTGGTAGATAAGAAGTAGGGTGGTGGGCACACCAACTTGATGGCTTCTATTTCTGTGGTGAAAAGCATCTGTAAGGAGGGAGGGAACGGGGCATGTAGAGGACTGAGAAGAATGAGGAAGATTTGAAGAGCTGATGTGGAGAATGGAAGAGAAACCAGAGTGGAAACAGTGGAAGTGTTTTAAGAGATTTAAATTTACAATTGGCAAAGAGTACATTTGTACAGTTGTCTCCAATGGGTATCTATATTTTAAAAGCAACTCCATTATCATGGTACCAATTTTCAAATGTGAATGATTCCTCGTTGATATTTTAACAAAGACTTTTGGTTCTAATTTCAGAGAATATTCACAATTTTTAGTTATGAGGTAGTCAATCTTCAATTACTTTATTATTTTAAAATTTGCATATTCAATAAAAAATCAATGGAACTATCATCTGACATGACTGAAAAAGGACTAGAGTTGGTCCCACCCCAATTTAATCAAAGAAAGAGAGAAAGTAACTGCATCTTTGTAATCATGTAGTTAGAGCTACTTTCACATGCATTTAGTGTTGTCAGGTGGATTATTTTATAAGCACCTATTGTGACACAGCATAGAGACTTCTTTAATGTGGTCAACTAAGAAAAGTTTAAAATCAATAGCTTCCCTGTTAATTTTGTTTCATCGTGTTTTCTTTTTGAGAAACTTAAGCATAATATAGTCAATAATATTTTGCTCTTATCCTTTAGGATATAAATAGGGGCAAGTGTTAATGTTTTTGTTAACAGAGATATTTAAATGGTCTACTCCAGAAATATAAAGTCAATATGAATTCCCAATGAAATGTCATTAATTGTAGTGATTTAATAAATCTGTGATTTTTATGTACATGAAAAAATAATATGGGTTGATCATTTAACTGAATTTTTTTCTGGAGCTGTTAAACCATTAAATGATAAGAAAAGTTGTTGCAAATGAAATGTTAAGATTGTTAAGTTTAATTGTTATTTTGTTGCTTGTAACAATATATTTTCTGAAGAAATTAATCTCTAAAATTATCATAGATATCAATCAAAGTAGTATTTCAAAAGTGAAAAAACAAAAGAGGTACAGGGCCTTCTTGTGATTTTGTGAAAGTGCCACCTCTGTCAGCTTCTAAAGCCTGTCCTGCTTCCCAGTCCACTTCACTTGCTTCCTGCACTCAACTCTCCTCTCTGTAAGGTCAAAGCCTGTATCTTGTGTACTGTTGAATCCCCAGGGCCCAACATAGTAGATTCCAACCTGTTTTTGAATGAATAAATGATAGCACATTGCTGCCTGTATCCACCTTCTATTAGGAAGGGGGAGTTAATGAGGTTGGAAATAATTAATGGTCAGAATATTATATGGATCCATTTAATCCTAATTCTGAAATTGAATGCTCTTGCCCATTTTGCAGAAGAAAGAAGACTTGGAACCAGGTGGCCAAGGCCCAAGAACTTTCCCTGGTATGAGAGCAATAGAGTCCCCATGTTGAAGCAGAAATCATTTGATCAAAGTCTTTCATTTTATAAATGGCAGAACTGAGACCCATAGAGAAGAGTGACTTCTCATATGTACACACACACACACACACACACACACACACACACACACACCCCTCATTCCTCATGAGGCCTTGAAGCTTTGTGGTCCCAAAATACAGAAAAGGAGTCAGACAAAGAAGGAAAATTACCTACTATTTATTTGGCCATATCCTCTGCCCTACCCTCTACCATACTGAGCTGCCTGATCCCACCCTTGGAAGAGTTCCAGAGATGAGAAGGGAAGGTGGGATGAGGAAGCACTGCCTAAGGCTCAGGGGCCACATTCCTTACCAGACAGTAGTTGGGTCACACATGGATTCCACCTTCACCCCCAACCTCTCTGGTCCCTAACAAGAGGACAGACATGCCTCTCTATCAATCTTCCTCCACCCCACTCTTGCCTCAGACAACTAAACTAAAGGCTAAGAGTTAGAGTTGGGGAAGTGTCTGTGCAGGATTTTACCCCAGCATCCAGCCTATCACCATCACAAGAAACCTGGCCATCCAGGCTCCTGCAGGAAAGAAAGAAATGATTATACAACTGGATTAGGTGGCTTTGAGAGCCTGAGAAACGTTTTTAGTCTTAGATACTCCACTTTGAGGATTATTTAGAAAATCATTCATTCTTTCAACAAAGATTTCCTGGGACTGTGCCAGTCCTTCTGTTAGACTAGGGGTTGAGATGCATGGAGATACAGAGATGAATTCTCTAGATCATTGTGGGCCTCACTCGATCCCCCAACTTGTTGCCTTCCTAGACTTATCTCTTGAAATTTCAACCCCTATTCTAAATCATCTCTGGATAGCCTCAGGTTCTGATGAAGGATAAAACTCTGACTATGACAACCAAGCAACAACCTCACAATGACAACTCTGCCATATACTGCCGAGGAAGCTAAGCCTTAGGGTAACTGACTTCTCCCAGGTCACATATTGTTGAGCAGACAGGATCCAAGACCAGCACCTGCCAGAAGCCAGTGTGCACCCCCAGACCCTAATGCAACCTCAGAATTTCCTCACAGCCATCCCTGTGTACCAACCTGCCAAAGTCCTGCTGCTGGAGGCACTGGGCTCTGAAACCACAAAGGAAGAAAGACATCTGAAGGAGGCATTCTGAAATTACAAGGCCAGCACACTGCCATCATTTCAAGATTGGGCAAAAGGTGACCCCTTGTTGAAGCAGGGACTCAGAAGGATGTGATGATGAACCTTCTGCCTGTAATAAGAACAGTCTTACGAAGAAGATAAGCTTTCCTGTGAGGATCGGAGCTTTGGAATGTTGTCACAAGATAGAAAGAAGGGAGAGACTGTTCAGACAAACAAGAGAATTTACAAAAGCAGGCTGGCACAGAGACAAACAGACTGGGAGAAGAGTGATCTGGTGTGGCAGGAAAGATGAGAATGGGAGGAGAGAAGTCCCTCTGGGACTGGGTGAAGGGAGGAGACCACTCCAGAGCAAAGAAGGAGCCGAGGAGGATATAGGCTTGGGTTGAATTGAAGAAGGAGTCTATGGATACTAGGTAGGAGGGAGCTCAGTGAAGGGTCGGGATCTCGGAGGAGATCAATGGGAGGATCTAGAAGAGGAGTCAGGGAGACCCCCAAATGGTCCAGTTACCACTAAATCGGATGGGCCCGAACACCTTCCAGCCGGCGTCGCTCTCCAGGCCCTTCCAAACTGACATCTCCCAAGCTCGATTCACCCCAGGCGGACTCTTCTGACTACAGGTCTGCGTGGACACAGCAGAAGGGTAGCGAGGTCCTTCCCTGCCTCAGCCTGGACAGGCCTTTGCCTGAGACCCCCCAGGTAAACCCAGGGAGTCCACGAAAATCCTGTCCTTTAGTTCAATCCTCAGGTCCCCGACCTGCCCTCGGCCCCGCCCTCATCCCCGCCCCCGGCAGGATAGACCAATCCCCAACACGGCCATCCTTCAGGCTCCTCCTTAGTCCCGCCCCCAGGAAGAGGGCTCCACTGGGAGTCCCGCTCCCCAGCGCGCCACCCAGTGCCGCCAGGCAGAGGCTGCGCAGGCTGCCGGGAGCCCAGGGCTGCCCCACTCACTGGCTGACACGGGCGTCCCGCCCACTTGTCGCACAGGGTCACTCGGCCGTGCAGATAGAGCTGGTCGAGAAGCGGAACAGGTTGAAGGCCAGAGTCACCTCCAGAGAGGCCCCATTGGCCCGCAGGCCCCAGAGCAGCCGGGGTTACTGACTGGGCAGCTGTGGGGAGAGGCGGCGTCACCCACTGTTAGGAGCTCCCCGCAAACACTGATTCCCCTTTTTTGTTTGTCCTGTGTAGGTGTAGATGTTGGGTCTCGTAGTGAGAATTTACATGCGTTATTTCATTTCATCCTCACGTCAATCCTAGGAGAACGACAATAATTTTATCTTTCTTTTTCGCTCTCTCTTTTTCTTTCTTTCTCTTTTTAATTCTCTCTCTTTTTCCTCCTTCTTCCCTTGCTTCCTCTCTTTCTCTTTCTCTCTTCCTTTTTTCTTTTTACATTTTTTCTCTCCAGTGTTTTCCTTTCTTCTCCTTCCCCTCTTACTTCTCACTATTATTATTTTGATGGTGTAGTAGTAGTAAATCATGACAAGATGACCTTGTATTATTCTTTTCTTTATTTTTGCTAAGGCTCTGTCTTTTTAGTACAAGAACCTGGGCATAGTTTATCAGTGATCATGTATTAGCAATAACTGCTCCAAATTTAAAAAGGAAACCTGTTACTGGTGGCAAAGTCTGGTAGACATAGAAAGTTATAAGCTCAAGAATTTGGACACAATGGCCTCAACTGTCCACGCTATTGTCATGGTGACTTTTTTTGAGATAACAATAACCTAAATGTAACCCCTTACTATAGTATAACGGATTATACTTAGATAGGCCTATGGTGTAGAGTCCTCAGGCAGAAAGAAATTCTTATGATACACAGGCTCCATTCTAGGTACTTGGGAAAATGAGGGAATGTGAGCAAACAAAATAGACCAAACGTCCTATTCTTCTGTGGGTGAGAGGAGACAGACAATAAATAACAATAAAGAAAAGTAAATGATCTCATGTAATATAGTGTATAGTAGGAGATGATAAGTAGATAGAAGAAAGAAACAGGGATCTAGTGGAGGATAGTTGCAATTTTAAATAGCATGGATGGGGTAGGCTTCATTGAAATGGGGACATTTTAGCAAAGACTTGAAGGAGATGAGAATTTTCCATATGAGTATCAGGGAGTTGAGGATTCCAGGAAGAGAAAACAGCCAATGTAAAAGCCTAAGGGACAGCAAATTACCTTCCCACTTAGATACCTGTCCACACAGATGCTACCTCTCCTGGGCATTAAGGAATCACCTCTCTGAACTCTGTCTCTTGTACTTCCCAAAGCCCATTTAGTCTTTTTAACCCTGCGTTTTTTATTCCAGGGCACAAGTTTACCATCAATAAATCCTTTCTAGCTTCCCCCTTGATGGTGCCTTTCCTTTTGAAAGATGAGGACACTGAGACTCAGAGAGGTTAAGAAGATTACCCAAGTTTCTTCAGGTAGCAGCCTGGCTGCAGTGTCCACCCATACCCTTAATCACTAGGTTCTGTTTTCTCCTGACAAAGGAAGAATTGCATGCTAGGATGGATTTGGTGATATTTCAGAATCTGGACTCTGGAACATGAGTAGACCAGCACTATGTCCTTAAACTAGTCATTTAAACTCTGAACCCTCTGCAATCCCCTCTAATCTGTAAAGTGGGGGATATAACACTCCACAGGGTTGTTTTCAGGAATAAATGAGGTAATGAATGATTCACTGTGCTTTATGAAGGCTTGTTAATGTTGATGAACCCAGCTCTTCTCCTAGACCATGAGCTGTTGAGGGTGAAGGTTCGGCCCAACACTTAGCAGGGTCTTGTCACTTACCAGTTATGTGAACTGAGCCGAAGTTTCTCCATCTATAAAATAGGAATGAGAACATCACTATCCCATACAGTGTTTTGTGAGGCTTAAGTGTATTAATACATGTGAAGTGATTTGAACAATGCCTGGCATGGAGTAAATGTCAAAATTATTACATAGTGTATATCACCCGGAAATGTTAGTTTCATTTTTGTTTTTTATCATTGTAGGCCCTCAATAATTGAGGAAAGAATAAAAGGAATGAATGTCATTAATTGGCTGTAATCTTGGACTGACCATAATCTCCCTATGCCTTAATTTATTCATCTGAAAATGGGAATGATAATAATACTTGTATTTATTCAACAAATATTCACTCAGCACTTATTTTTTCCCAGCATTTAAATGTACCAGGGATATAGAGAAGAATGACAGAATCTGTGCTCATGGGTACAAAAGCATCCAGTACAAGCTATAGTCCAAGAGCTAGTCTGGCATTGAAAGAAGGTTACCAGGGCCCAACAGATACTCACCTCTCTTTCACAAAGTGGTACCTGGCCTTAACAGCACCTGTCCTGGAGACTCGAGCTGGCAAAGACCTCATTGGCTACCAGGGCAAATCTGTCTGGATCACTGCTTGTGGCTCTGAGGACCACGTAGAGAGGCTTGCCAAGGGGAGCTGGTCTGTTCTCAAGTGGAGATGAGAGCTGGGGGTCTGTGAAGATGCTCAGGATGACAGTGGTGTCCCCAGTGCCTGGAAAATAGATGGTGATGTATCTGGAGAGGGACAGAAATGAGACACTTACCACAAAACCCTAGAGGGAGGGGCATCATTCTCCTTCTGCCTTGCACCCAATGTCACTGAGCACTGGTAGCCATAGAGAACTAGGGGAGGGGAGGAGAAAATCTGCTAATCTTCCTCCTGGACCTCCTAAAAAGTGAGGGGCCACCTCATAGATCCCCTGACCTAGGACCCTTGAAGCCATCCAAGCCATCCTACCTCAAGGTAAGTTACATAAACAACTCATAATGCATTACTTTATAGAGCATCTTCTTCTTTCATGAGAATACTCTGAGTCTCAATCTAAGAGGTCCCTACGACTGGTGGGTGGGCATGGCGGGGAGCCAACATCCTGAGGGTGCTGAATCCTTTTGCCTGGATTATAGGTAGCAATGGGAACTTGAGAGCCTCCACAGCAACCAATACGAGAGGCAGCTGATAGAAAAGAACTCACGGGAAGGAGACCACTGGGTAGGGGTGAGTCTGGCTGACATTCACCACCAGAGGGTACGTGCAGCTGAAGCTAAGCGTTGTGTAGTCAGTATTGGTGAGGTTAAGGAGGACCTGCAGAAGCTTCATCCAGAGAATAAAGGGCGTGGCTATTGTTGGTCTAGAAAAAAAACAAGGAGGCAGCCATTACCCTCAGATCTCCACCTTCTCCCATTCTCATTGGCTGTAAGTTGTTTATTTAAATAAAAATAATGGCTAAAGTTTACTGAGCATGGGTAGTATTCCAGGCACTGTGGCCTGATCACAACTCTCTGTAGAGGGTTCTGTTATTAGTCCCATTTTACAGAAGAGTAAACTGAGGCTTAGAAAATTTAAAAATTTGCCAAAGCAAGTAACAGAACCAGAATTCAATGTCTCTCTGATCCCAGAGCCCATGTTCTTCACCTCTGTGCTGGGGAGTCTCAAATTTCAATGTGCATTTTAAAATCTCTTGGAAAAAATGAATAAAAGAATCACTGTGAGGCCTGTTAAAATTACCAGGTCCTAGTCCCTATCCCAAGATTCGGATTATCTTTTTGATATTTCATTGTTTCCATAGGATTTTTTAAAAACAATCAAAATAATTTGTTTTGTTGCTATAAATCAAACATTTTATTAAAAAGAACACTGACAAGAGAATTCCAGGGGCAGTGCCATGGACTTAGCTATTGCAGGTTGAAACTTCTAACTCTGTTTCATGACCTAAGCAAGAGATCCCATGAATCTCTGGGTGGCAGAGCTGGAGATAACAGAAGACCCTGGAGGAACTATATCATCAAGCCCAGGGAGCTGCAGAGCCTCTTCAAAGGGGCGTTAAAGCTGTCCTATGTGTTGGGGAAAAGCTGACCCCAGCAGGGCACTCTTCCTCCTCCCCCATTCAATCAGAGCTACCTTGCTTTTACATATTTATTTTTACATTTGGCTTTTATGTAAAATCCCTTCTAAGGAAAGGAGATGGCAGCACAGTGAGCAGTTAGAAGCACAAACCGGCTCTGTTAATAACTAGTTGTGTGACTTGGGAAAATCCCTCAGCTCCTCTGAGCCTTAGATTGCTTATCTGTAAATGGGAACATCACATGATCATTGTGAAGATTTAGTGAGATAGTACATGAAGAAAAGATTTTGACCCACAGTACATGGCACATGGGAAGAAATCAATAAATATTGGTTCTGGTTATGGTAGTTATTATTTTAAGGGATTCTGTGGCTGACAAGTTTGGAAACCGATTTCCCAGTCCATCAAACATGGCAACCATTTATAAGGGCATTCCAAATCTAATGAGGTACAACATGGACTCTTCCTCCCCAGAAGACTGATCTGATGGCTAGAACTTGACTCCATTGCAGAGAATTATTCCTTAGTCAAATGGAAATAAAGTGACAACAAGTACCAACATATTCATTTCCCAGTCCCTCCCCTGAAACATGCATAGGCCCCAGCTTCTTATCAGGTGGCCCCTCCCAGCTTGCTCACAAAGGGGCGGAGTCCGCAAGTACCATCCTTCTCCACCACAAAGACCTGGACACTGCGACCCTCCTTTGTCTTTCTGACACTGGAGCATCCTGAAATGACGCCTTCCTCCAGCACCCAGTGGTGAGTCTTCAGGAAGCAGCTGCTCAGGACCACCTCAATTTTCTGCTGCTGGCAGTGCAGGGCCACCAACACCCTGGGTAGTTCTGCAGGAGGACAACAGCCAGAGCAGGGGCCTCCTGAGTTTCCTAGGATGATGCCATGGGCAGGGGTACTAGGTCTTATCTGGGTGGAGGAGACACTGTGGGGATATTAGCCCAACCCACGATGACTCCCTTAAACAAAGACTCTGCCTCACAAGAGGTGAGACGCCTCTGCCATAATTGCCCTGGGGGCCCCTTATCCCTGGCCTTAGCTGGTCCACTCAGAATCTCTTTCCCAGGAACTGAGCCTGGAAGGAGGTGATAGAAAGCTTGAGAGTTGTGAGGCAGCCATCTTTTGCCACGTGGGCTGAGAGATGGGAAAAACCAGTGTACGGAGAGAGGAACAAGGTACAGAAGGGGAGAAGGTAAGGGGAGGGGACTCCTTGCTTTTGACCACATTCAGTTCCAAGTCCCAATCCCTGGAGAACCTGGCTGGAGCCTGCCCTCGGGCTTCATGAGATGCCCTTATAATAAATTCCTTTGTTTCTCTTTCACCAGCCCCTTTGGTTTCTGTTACTTGCCTTGCAAGATTATTTTTGGAGATATTAATTTGTTTTGTTCTTTGATTTCCTTCTCATTTCAAAAGGTAGTCTGGGCCTTGGGGGAGTTTTGAGGTCCCTAAACTGCTTGAAATTGGTGGTTCATTCTGTCTTGTCCTAAACTCCTGAAGAGACAGCGCTGAGGGATAGGAGGGAGGGAGCACCTTTGAGAGCCATGAGGGAGAGGGGTCAGAGTCTTCAAATCCTCTTCAGTAATTCTTAGTCTCATGAGTCAACAAATTTTTTGTTTCACGTTTTCAATTTTTAAAATTACTTACTTAATTAATTTGCTCCAGTCAATTAGCGTTGATTTTCTGCCCCTGGCACCACCCAGTGCCCTGATACGTGCCTTGTACCAGTGCTTTTGGGTGATGAAGGAGAAACTAATACTTAGCCCTTCCCTTCTTTCTAGGCCTGCTCTTTCTATATTTTCTGTCGAAGTTGGGATGAACCACTTACAGTTAGTCATTAAAAAATAAAACATTATGGAAATACTAGTGTAAAACATTTCTGTAGACTGAATGTTTGCGTCCACCCCAAAATCCATGTGTTAAATCCTAACACCCGATGTGATGGTATGAGGAGGTGGGGCCTAGGGGAGGTGATTAGGTCATGAGGGTGGAGCCCTCCT